CATCCTTCTGCCTCTGCATTCCAAAGTATTGGAATTATAGGCATAAGCCACTGTGCTCAGCCTGAACTTCTTTTCTTATGCTGTTATTACTCTTCTCAAATTGTTTTTAGTCTTTTTCTACTAATCCTCTCACTATCCACAAATACATTTACAGGATAAAACATGTGTTCTTGAAATAAAATCTAAGCCTAATAGCAACCAAATCTGTGGTTTTTGAGAGGTTACGTGTTGTTTTAGGAGTCATTTTTCCCACATAGTAATTGGAAGAACTTTCTAAGTTTCCCTTGCAAAAATGAGTGACAGGTAAACTTAATAACAAAGTTCAGAAATGATTGCAATATAGTATCAAGTGGAAAATTCAAACTCCCACAAAAATGTGTGCGTTATAACTAGAACTATGCAAAATATGTTTACATAGAATGACACCTATAGGGAAACTTGGAAAAATTAAAGAATTTGATACATTAGAGATTTGGGATTCTGATAAGTAGGTTTTCTGTTCCTTTTTAAGGTGTTTTGTTTTATTTTGTTTACATGCTGCTTACTGTGAGCATAGTAAAAAACACTTGGGTAAGAAAAAAAGGCACTTGTAGACATAACAAGCATGTATAAAGCAATGATGTCTTGTTAGAGTAAAATATTCTTCTGAGGGATAAGGTCATATTGACCCTGAGTCTTTCTGGACAAATGGATATTTCCTTTCTATTATAGTTATCACTATTCAAGCCAATGGAGCAAATTAATTCTGTTTCAGTGTTTGCTGGGGAAAAATTCTTGAAATGGTTCACTATAACTCTTTATATACCCTCTACGTGCACTCCTGTGAACGCTGCCAATAAAATTAATGCCAGAGAAAGTACTGTTTTCCTTGGGTAACAAGTTTGCTTCCTTCTTTTTGATGAGATGTAGTTGGCTTAATATGTTTTTCTTTTTGCCTTAGCTTCCAGAAAGCTAGCAGGCAAAATTCAAGTTCAGTCTCACAGCGTCTGTGTTGATTCTTATGAGTCCTGTTTTTAAATTTCTTTTATATTAGCTTTAGCGTTATGACTTTCATTGTAAGACGGCTAAGCTTCTCTTTAAAAAGAGGTAGAGTGCAAATGAAAAGCCTAGTTCAAGCTACTTTCTGCTCCTTATTCATTTCAAACCTAGGGGCTATATGCCAAAATTCAGAACATATTCCCTTCCTTCCCCACTCCTTGCATCCTCACCTTGTAAACTGGGGTGGATAAACTCCTTAGCAATGGTGTTAGGCATCTACGTGATGTGACTTGAAGATCTGACACTGTCTGGAATTTTTGTTATTAAAGTTACTCCTTCAAATTAAGACACAGGCATCTTCTACTAAAACCCAAGGACATGTAAGTTTTTATCGGGAGGTGTGAGGGCAGGAGGGAGAAATTTTCGGAGAAGACTCAAAAGAGGCCTTTCTACAGGGTTCTCCAACAGTTAGGAGTCAAATAAGGACTCACGCTCCTCTCAGAAGAAAGGGAAGGGGATGGAAGAACATAGTTTTGGTCTGGCAGCTTTATTTTTGTTTAATGTATGGGGGCAAAACACAGTGTGGATATGCACCAAATGCCCACTGGACCAACAGCTTTGATGAGAATGGTTATGAAAATAAAACCACATTGTCCATATCAAGCTAGGTTTGTGCTCACTCATTTCTCCCATGTAAGGATAAGAGGGCATATTTTAATTTATTTATATTGACTTTCAAAATTCAGAGATTTTTCATTTGAAAATAGTTTTAATTACAGTTGTATAACCTCTTCTTTTATTTTTATTTATATTATCCCTTTGAATCAAGAATATATTTGCCTCATTCAAAATTAATAAAGCACAAGGCATACCACTGACTTCTAGTCTTCCAGCTCCCCTCCCCAGATGCAGCCAATGTTTTCAGTTTATCTTGTGTCCTTTTAGGAATATTCCATAGCTTCTCACTGAAATGGTTCTTAAAGTGACCAAATGCATATACAGTGTGCATTGGCTCTGTGACTGAAAACAATATATCAAAGCATCTCTGCATCTTATCCTCTAAATATTAAAGATTCTGAAGTTAATGTAGTGGGGGAAAAGCCCATTTTAGTTTCTGATTGTCATATCCTCTTCTCAACCGACAGCTCCTCCTTTCTTCCTCTGGAGTCACCCATCAGTTTATTTCCTTGGCATAAAATATGGTCTTCCCACCTCCAGACTGGATGATGGAAATATTTTTGTTATTGTGTGGTAATCCCAGATTGGAAATCAAATGTTGTCTCACCATTATGTCTTTGTTCAATGCCAAAAACAGATGGCAACAAATCCATGTATGATCTAATCCTTTGATTTACACTGACCAGTTGCAATTTATTATTTCTTCCTCTAATTAGAAGATTTTAATGTGTTTAGCATCACAAAATTTAATTTATTAAAATGTTTCTACAGAATGAACAAAAAGAAGTCATTAGTAAATTTCGCACTGGAAAAATAAATCTGCTTATCGCTACCACAGTGGCAGAAGAAGGTCTGGATATTAAAGAATGTAACATTGTTATCCGTTATGGTCTTGTCACCAATGAAATAGCCATGGTCCAGGTACATTCAAATACCTTTACTTACTATGTTAATTTTTATTTGTGTGTTCCTATTTTAATTGCTTTCTTTTAGTTAAACAGCACAAAACATCTTTTTAGTTTTTAAAACAAAACCCTTTTCCTGTTAAAAGAGCATTTTTAAAATGCTGTGCACTGTTGCCTTTCGTATTGCTGTCAATTCATATGATAACCAGATACCTGTTGTATGTTTAAACAACAACTCCTCTTTGGCTATTTCTGTACCCTAAGGCTTTCCAGGACCATGACACCAGCCCCATTTGTAAGAGTCAAAAGCAGCCTCCTCATTCCTAGGATGTCTGTGAGCCCCCGGCTGGACCGGGAATCTAAAGTACGCTGTCCCACGATTGTCTGATGAAGTAACATGCCCAAACCTGAGGGAGCCCTGCTGTTTCTGCATTTTATTCCCTTATCCTTTCCAATTTTCTGTATGTTTAGAAGTTTTCGTGATAAAATGTTGGTTGGGGGCAGACTTATAAATGCAAAAATAAATAAAAGAGTGAGATGTTCTGTTTTCATTCAGATTTCACGTTATCTCTTACCCACCTGTGTTAATGGAATTATTGTAACCTTCTGTTGAGTAGGCATAGGTTTATGCTGATTAATATACTATTCTTCCTATAAAATTAACTGAAGGGTTTTCAAAATAATTTAAATTGCATCCTTGAATAAAAGGCAAGTCATAGAAGACTAAGATAACCAGACTGCCATCAAATTAGCAAATAATTTTATTTCAGGAGTTTATTTGTAAGTCAGCGATAAACTTAGTAATAAAACTTAGAATACATTTTTCCTTGAGAATAATTTTATAGTTGATAGGCTCCTGGGCCATGCCACAGAAGTTTCTATTAGTCAAAATATAGCTGAATATCAAGAAAGTTATCACCATGTTAAATGTATTCCCATGGGAAAATGTGCTAAGAATGTAACGTAGGATGCCAGAAACTGACTTGCCTTCTTACCAGCCCTGGTGTCAAGGTCAGAGATGACCCTTCTCTCCATTAATTCCTCCCAGCTTCCTACCAAGAAAGACGACTCCTCAGTCCACGTCATTGATCATGGTTCTCATAGTTTGAGAGAGAATTTCTGAGAGCAAAAAGGCTGGACAGGATGATATTATGTCATTGAGGCCTAATCATCATCACTGTAGAACACTGTTTCTGTATTAAACCTTATTTTAAGTTTCAAAGAGCTGACTTACAAGGATGGATTAATAACTAACTTTACCCATTTAAAGACTGGCATGCTGAACAACCCAATATCATTTCATTCTGAGCAGTGAATATCATTCCCAGAGAAAACCAGGAAGATTTGTATCACAGCGTACCCTTTCATTTACTTGATTTATTTGTGTTTTCAGGCCCGTGGTCGAGCCAGAGCTGATGAGAGCACCTATGTCCTGGTTGCTCACAGCGGTTCAGGAGTTATCGAACGTGAGACAGTTAATGATTTCCGAGAGAAGATGATGTATAAAGCTATACACTGTGTTCAAAATATGAAACCACAGGAGTATGCTCATAAGGTATTGTTGGCTACCTCTGAATTTGATTTTCATTTAAAAATGGCCACATGTGGTTGCCATTGATATCTCTGTGGCTCATTCTCCAGAAAAAAATTGTGCTGAATTATAAGTTTCTGTTTAGTGAACTGTGCTTAATCCGGATTCACATGCAGAGAATCGAGATCCATAGTGGGCAGGAAATTATCGGGGAGCCGTTGCTCCTTCTGGTGAAACCAACCATAAATTTTGATAATATAAATTTACGCTGCCTTGTTCCAGAAAGACTGCTGCAACTCACTGATTCAATCCAACATGGTAATTTTGGTTTGACCCAATTTGTTTGTAAAGGCACCATTTTTAAATTTCAGAAATGTAGATGAAATGCTTACTGTATGCCAGGTAACATTATAGGAATAGCCAACAGAGGCAAACAAAACACATAAGACTCCTGCTGCATGAAGTTTATATTTCTAGTGTGAGCCTGGTGAGATTTGGAGGACAGAAACAGTAAACAAACATTAAAAAACAAGAAATATAACATATCAAGATAAGTAAAGAGAATTAGAATAGGATGATATGAAACAACTGACTAGATGGATACTTTCTCTTTTTTTGTAGTTTTTGAAATTCTTTTTTTTTTATTATGTTTTATGTTCTGGGTACATGTGCACAACGTGCAGGTTTGTTACATATGTATACATGTGCCATGTTGGTGTGCTGCACCCATTAACTCGTCATTTACAGTAGGTATATCTCCTAATGCTATCCCTCCCCTCTCCCCCGACCCCACGACAGGCCCTGGTGTGCGATGTGCCCCTTCCTGTGTCCAAGTGTTCTCGTTGTTCAATTCCCACCTATGAGTGAGAACATGCAGTGTTTGGTTTTCTGTCCTTGCGATAGTTTGCTCAGAATGATGGTTTTCAGTTTCATCCATTTCCCTGCAAAGGACATGAACTCATCGTTTTTTATGGCTGCATAGACTAGATGGATACTTTCAACTGGGTGGTTGAGGAAGATCTCTTAGAAGGAGTGACACTGAAGCTGCATCTGAATGATAAGAAAATACAGAATATGTCATATAGCTACATCTCAATTTACTAACGCACAGTTATTTGAGTTGTGCAAAGGAATGCAGTGAAGAAAGAATGTATTTCTATAGTATTTCAGGAAATCCCCCATACCACTGAATTAAAGACTGTAACTACTATAATAGCAAACAATCCATTTAGAAGAAAATTCACACCCTTGCATATGGGTGTGAATGTTAGTTTCTTAACATTGGAATTGGCTCTACCTTAAATAGAGTTTCACTAAAGGAATGCTTTCAAATTGGTGTGCATTGCTATTACCAACTCCAGGGTTTCCTGACCAGGTTTCTGCACAAACCTTTATTTTAAAACTGCTTTAAATACAAGGCAAAGCAAACATTTTAGAGTATCAAATCAAACTTTTATCACCAAATTATGCTACTGGAAAGTTACTGCCTCCCAGTTAATATCCTAAGAGAATTAATCAAGTAGATGTTTACAAAGACTGATATTTTAAGAGTAGTTTTTTGGGGGTCAACACTAGGACAATCTCTGGAGTTTAAGGGTCAAACTCTTCCAGACATTCTTTAGAATAAGACACTGTCCCTTTGGAGGCCCCAGAATGGACTATATTTTTAGGTCTCCTTTGGCCAAGAAACCTGCCCTCCTAAAACAACTTTGGGTAGATGAACTGAAAGTAGGAGTGGCAATGGGGAAGGAGGGGTACACGCCACCAGTAACCTGTTCAAAGCCTGTAGAAAACATTGCTACTGGGAAGATGTTTACTTTCGTCTAATTTGAGCATCCTTCTCAACACAATCTTCAGGCAACCACTAATGAATAATGAGAATTGACAGATAAGATGAAATCTTTTTTCCATGTCATAAACACAGTTTATACATAACAGAGCTTCTTAAAATTAAATCAGACTTCTAGGAGCAAGTTGATCATCATAAATGTTTTTCTCTAGCATTGATTCAATTTTTGCTACATTATTACACTCTATTTGGACTTAGGCTGATTGTAGCTGTGCCTCCTGTATATTTATTATGAGTCATTTTATTTGTTTGTTTGTTTGTTTGCCCCTCTAGTTACTTCAAATTCCTTTGCTACTTTAGAGTTAGTCTTTTAGCTTCTGATGTCCTGATTACAAATCCATACACTTACCTTGGCTTTATTTTTTTTCTGACTCATTCATACACATTTAATTCCCAAATGTATGTGATCCTATAATTACGTTATCAGCTAACTGAACTGTAAATGTCTTATAAAAGTAACCTATTTTAACTTTTAGGGAAAAATATTTCAATGTATTTTTCTATAATTTACATAGGAAATTCATCTTGGTACTTTTCTGATTAACATATTATATAGCCTCTGAGCTTGCTTGCAAGGTTTTATTCTCTTTTCTATGCTATATGTGGCTGCCTTGAAGGGAGATCTAAAATGTAGAGTTAGGAGCCAAAGAGATGGGCTTTGTTCATCTGCACTGATGACTTACTTCTACTGAAAATTTCCCCTCGGTCTTAAAGAAAACAATTACTTCCTCCATAATTTAATATAAATATTTCATCTATGAGAGGTCAGTTTGGAGGTAAATTATTCAAGAACCAGATTTTTCTACCATGAAGTTGTGTTAGTATAAACGCTGGTCAGTCCCTATGTCAACTTTCATATGTTACATAAACTAGATTATTTCTGTTATAAAATAAGTGCTGCTGCTAGTCACAGAGCCTAGAATAAAGATGTTTATGGGCATATTCTCTCACATAAGGAATCTAGGCAGTATTGGCTCCATGATGTTATGAGGAATCCAGGCCTTTTCTCTCACTTTTATGCCATTATAGCATTGGGCTTTCATTCTCATGGTCGAAGATGGCTTTTAGAATTTCAGCTGCCACATCCTCATTCTAGGCAGGAAGTAAGAAGAAAATGGAAAGAGCGAAAGGTACACATGCCAGCTATCTACTTTTTGAGAAGATTTTCTGAAAATTCCACTCAACAGCTTTTTACATGTCATTGACTGCTGGTTTGGAAATGTAGTCATTTAGCTAGCGTATTTCCACCCAGAATAAAATTATGACTCTGTTAGGGAAAATGGACACTGAGGGCAAAACTAGCAGTTTCTGCCACAAATGTGTAAACAGTAGACTGATTAAGATGGTGAAGGGTCTGAAAATTATAAAGCATGAAAAAAGATTAAAGGAATTTAGGTGCTTAGCATAGATTAGAGAAGACATTGGTAATGTAATAACAGTGTTTAGTAAAGAGATTCCATGTGGGAGAAAGTTTAGACCTATTTTACGGAACAGAATTAAAGCAAATGGGTAGGCCAGCGCAGTAGCTCACTCCTGTAATCCCAGCACTTTGGGAGGCTGAGGCAGGTGGATCACTGAGATCAAGAGTTTGAGACCAGCCTGGGCAATATGGCAAAACTCCATCTCTACTAAAAATACAAAAATTAGCTGAGCATGGTGGCAGGTGCCTGGAATCCAAGCTACTTGGGAGGCTAAGGCAGAAGAATCGCTTGAACCCAGGAGATGGAGGTTGCAGTGACCCGAGATAGTACCACCACAGTCCAGCCTGGGCAGCAGAGCAAGACTCCATCTAAATAAATAAATAAATAAATAAAACAAATGGGTAGGCTAGACAGAGAATTTTTGTTGAATATTGCTAAGGACTTTCTCACAATAGAACTTTTCTGAAATGGAATGGGCTACTTTTTGAATACCTAAAGATTGCATATTTTCATGGTTACAGGAGATGATTATATACCAAGTTCTTTGTGGGGAGGGTTATTACCTCATTATTTTTATTTCCTAGACCATGAGCTAACTGTGTATTTTCACAACTAAGACCTCCAAATTTCAGGAGACTTACTTCTATGAAACTGAGAAAAGAAAACAAACCTGAAACCACTAACTATTCCTTTCTCTGTCCAGATTTTGGAATTACAGATGCAAAGTATAATGGAAAAGAAAATGAAAACTAAGAGAAGTATTGCCAAGCATTACAAGAATAACCCATCACTAATAACTTTCCTTTGCAAAAACTGCAGCGTGCTAGCCTGTTCTGGGGAAGATATCCACGTAATTGAGAAAATGCATCATGTCAATATGACCCCAGAATTCAAGTGAGTCCAGAAAGACCTATCTTTAAATTTTTCCACAAGGGGTGAGGCAGGTTGCATTGTAAATGTTCTTTCAAAATAGTGCAAATGAGAATCATTTATTTTACAACTTCCTCTCCTTTAGCCTCTCAATTATATTCCTATTTTAAATGTCTATGTTTTAAATAAACTGCACTGGTGCAGGAAAAGAGAAGTGTAAGAACCAAAGCCATTTTTGATCCAAGGCATGTATTTTTGTATGCTCATCATTTGTTCTCAAATTTTTGAACAACTAAAGTCAAGTTAATATAACCAACAGACTTGAAAGAAGTTACAAAAGGCAACATGCCCCTTGAGAGGTATGTGTAGAAGAGAAGCATTGCCTTAGTTGCCATAACAAGCCTGGCAAGCAGGAGGGAAGGAAGGAATGCCATATAGAATACTGCAGGCATCTGGTTGAGCTCCAGGTCCAAAAACCCATGAACTACACATTGGTATTTTGTCAGTTCTCTGTGATGATTCTTTTCCTTTGATACTTATAGGGAACTTTACATTGTAAGAGAAAACAAAGCCTTGCAAAAGAAGTGTGCTGACTATCAAACAAACGGTGAAATCATCTGCAAATGTGGCCAGGTGAGTAAATTGCTGTGGGCCTGATGTTACTTTAGCCAAAAGGAATGTTTAATTGCATGTGCATTTAATTTTCCTCTTGCTCTCTCTTTTGTTTTTCAGGCTTGGGGAACAATGATGGTGCACAAAGGCTTAGATTTGCCTTGTCTCAAAATAAGGAATTTTGTAGTGGTTTTCAAAAATAATTCAACAAAGAAACAATACAAAAAGTGGGTTGAATTACCTATCACATTTCCCAATCTTGACTATTCGGAATGCTGTTTATTTAGTGATGAGGATTAACACTTGACTCAAGATTCTTTTAAAATACTATCAGTTAAACATTTAATAAGATTATGATTAATGTATTCATTATGCTACAGAACTGACATAAGAATCAATAAAATGATTGTTTTACTCTGCATTGAACTTTTTAAGAACACAATATATTATGCATGATCCATCTTGTTGGTGGGCAGGGGTAAGGAAACTCTCCCAATAATTCTCATTAGTGTAGAGCATTACAGTCCTGTGGAAAGAATGCTGAAGTACAAATGAAAATTCAAGGTATCAGTCTCAGGTCTGTCACTAATTTTCAGAATACAATTAGGAAAATCAGCTCATCTTTCGGAACCAGTCTCCTTATTGATGAAATGGTCATAACATTCTCTGGTTTTGCTTTTTATTAATTTTGTATTGCTTTATAACCGGTTGCCACAAATGTAGTGGCTTAAAACAACACTCATTAATTATAACACATATCCTGTTGGTCAGAAGGGCAGGGTTCTCTGCTCAGGGTCTCACAAAATTGAAATTGAGGTGTCAGCCAGACTGTGTTCTCATCTGGAGGCACTGGGGAAAGAATTCACTTCCAAGTTCATTCAGAGTTTTGGCAGAGTTTGTTTCCTTGCAGCTGTCTGAGTAGGATGGCTGTTTTGCTGTCTGTCCATTGGGAATCGCTCTCAGCTCCAGCAATGCCCCTACCACACAGCATGCTCAAGGCTCTTTCCCAGCACAGATATTTGCTTCTTCAGGGTCAGAAGAAGAATCTCTCTTTCAAGTCTGCTCAGATAGAGTCTTAGACAGGTTAACTGTAAACATAGAAGTGACTGTCTCATCATATCCGTAGGTTCTGCTTACACTCACCGCAAGGGGATTATTCAGGGAATCACACCAGCCAGTGGAAATTGTGGGGACCATCTTAGAGCTTTGCCTCCTACATCACTTGCCCAGTCTTTGCAACTAAATGATATCATAGGAAAGCACTTTAAAAACTATGAAATACCATCAAAGACCGGTTA